GGCTTAAGGATGGGTCGCCCTGGAGCCGGGCGTGGCTGGATGGGGCGTGACTCGCCTACTTCTCAGCCCTCAGGTCCACTAGAGGGAGGTTTTTTTAGGCTGAAGGAGAGTGGACCCCTGCACTGAGGGAGACCTGCTCCCCTTCCTTTAGAAAGCTCCTTGTCTGTCTAACTGCAGGAGTATCTAGCTAATCACTCCTCATCAATCTGCCAAGTGGATCAGGCCCTAGATCTTAAAAAAAACAGTGGTTCAAGGAGTCCAAGAAGAGAGCCAGGGACACAGTCCTCGAATGACTGCAAGAGACTTCTAGCAAACTCATCTAGCTGAGTACATCCTCTACCTGCTGGGGGCTCTCCGTGGTGAGGGTTGGAGGTGGGGATGGGGTCAGTTCCCATTGGGCCTGACAGGCCTGCTGGGTTAGGCCCAATGGTACTAAGCAGGACCTGCAACATAATCTACGGGTTCCAGTACAAAATGAAAATACAAGACTCCTTGTTAAAAAATTATTAAGAATTATTATTCATGACGGCAACAGCAGAGCATTAAACCAAGTATGGGGCCATGTGCAACTTGGCAGGTTGCATGCCTGTGAAGCCAGCTCCGGTACCAAGCTACAGGCAAAGTTAATCAGAGTCCAAACTCTGTTTAACTGTCCCCTTCTCCAAGGAAAAGGCAAGAGGTGCAAGCCCACTTACTCTCCATCTATTTTTCTCAAGAGAAAAGAGAATATATCTTTCCAGGAATCTTCTCTCATCCTCTCCTGGAGGGTAAAGAGTGAATCTGCTGCCTCCCGAACACATACACACGCACACATTAGCCTCAGCTCCCAGAGCTGCCTTACAATCTCCTGCCCGCCAGAGAAAGAGAGTATGCCCTTGTCTCTTCCGCGATCTCCCCTCCTTTACCCTTGCAGAGCTGAGCGCAGAGCAACAGCAGTTGCTGGCCATGTCCATGGAAAAAGGGTTCCTTCCCCAACAGACGTCTGGTGAAGCATCTGAGAGTCGCAGGAGGGCTGCAAGGAAAGACAACTAAGGTAAAATTGAGTTTGACCACTAGAGGGGATGCGGGAGCTCACCCAAGTCTAACTCCTCACTCAACCGATGAGCAGTCAGTACAGAGAGCAGAAAACACTTCTCCAGGCCCAGCAGCTCTCCTAGCAGAGCTCTCTACAGAACTCAGATCTCCAGATTCTTAATCTGTGCCCATTTCTGACTTTAGCACTAATGAACAGAGGGGTCAAGGGTGAGGGCAGGGGCTGAAATTTAAATTTTTACTGCAGACCACCTCTGAAGTTGGTGACTCCCTAAATGCAAAGCATCCTGTGATGTTTATTCTCTCCTGTACAGATGGAGATCATCCTGGACCAGAATTTCTTCCAGGAGGCAGTGCTCTTCTGTCTTCACTTCAAGCTGGTCAGAGGTTTCTGGGGTGAAAAGCCAAAGGTGATCCAGGCCCTGGTGGAACTCTACAGCCTTGACATACAAGGGGATGGACTCCTCTATACATGGGAGCCCAGTGCCTTGTGACCACTCTGTTCCCTCTATGCCACTCTCTCTTTCTTTCGGGTGCTGGCCAAAAATGCCTGGCCATCCCCAGCCAGGACTGGGAAAACAGAGTGGGGCTTGGCAGGGGCCTGGGGAAGCTAGTGAAATGGAGAGGCACTTCAGCTCTAAGTGCCCTTGGAGGCAGAGCTTCAAAAGCTCCATCTGGGACACTCCATCTGAGGGCTTTGTCCTATCAGGAGGGCCTAGCAATCACAACTGAGGAGCAAAGCCATGAAGTGGACAGGAGCTGTAACACCTGCTCCAGCTGCATCGTTAGCTCAATGGGCTAAGGTATGTTCATCACTTCAGTTCTTCAGCACAAGTTCAAGTTGAATAAGTGTCATAAGACATTGAACAGTGTCTGTTCAGCCAGGAGTTTGAATTTAGGAAGAAACCTCAAAGTTTTTAGGGGATAAGAAAAGAGTCTGAGGATTTTACTCTGTTCAGAAAAGAAATAGAGTTTATTTATGGAAATATAGCTCACAATCTGCAATCTGAAACCCAAAACGTCCAACCTCCCATAAGAGACATAAAACTCAATGCCCTTGGGGTGTGTTCTTCCTACCTCACCACCAGACTGTCATGCCCCCATTCCAGCCTGTCTTTCTCCCTAGCTGTCCCACCTCCTTTTACTCACAGAAGGTCTAGAAGTATGTCTGTGCAAGGGGTCACTTCCCCCAAATGCTCCAGCTACCCCACAACCTACAAGTGGGCTGTGTATCCTACAAGCATGTTCCTGAAACTTCTTCCTGACCTCATTACTCCCAGGGTTCCAGCTTCTTCCGGTTCTTGCCAGGATCAGTGCCTTCCACCCTATTGAACTCCAGTAGTCTACTCGTCTCTCTTTTCCCTTTGGTCCTTCCTGAAGAGAAAATCAACAATAATAAAAAGGAAAATGGGTAAGGAAATAACATCCTTTCTCAATGTCTTTGTCCTCAGTATCTGCAGAGCATTCCTCGGGTCAGAGAGACATTCAAGTTCCCAGAGAACAGGTGGCTGGGACTTACTCTCCCCTCAGTCAATTCCCTTCCCTGATCCCTGTCTCCTAGCACCACACACAAATCGCAAGCATGCGGCACACCTCAGGGGTAATTATGGCCCATTACCTCCCTCGATTGACCACCAGAGGGAGCTAGAGAGCAAAGCCTGCCGCCTGCATCAGCACCATGCACCACCCAGCCTCCTGTTGCAGTAAGTCACTTTTAATGGACCGAAAGAGTTCTCACATATTAGTCAAACCTAAATCTCTTACAGTGCAATTTAGATTATGTGCCAGATTCCCCTGAACACACTCAGGACTCTAAAAAGGAACCTCTGGAATCTAAAGGGATTCTGTAGCCTTTCTCTAAGACTATGGAGGTGAGGAGGTATGTGACGAAAAGAAAGGGCATCCTGGATGGGTGGGAGGCGCAGCATAGGGGGAAGCCTGACACGGATATTTTAAATCTAAAAGCATAAGACCTTTAATCTGGCTGACACTACAAGCTCTTATTTCTTCTCTCTTGAACTCTCAAAGCCTCCTGTTTGGAACACCATTAGGTGGTTTGGGGGATGGTTCAGGTGGGAACCGGACAAGGAGAATGAGGACAAGCCTGGAAGAGATCAGAGTGAATGAAGGAGGGCAAGAGAAATTAAAAGAGCAAGACCTCTGGGTCAGAGGAGAGAAAGCTGGCTAGATGGACTTTTGGGGTCCTCAGAGAGAACAGATACGTGTGGCTTCTTGAAACCACTGTTCTCCAGATTTTTGGAAGACAAGCTGTACTGGAAATCTTGGCCTGCAGCCAGTGGGAGGAGAGAGGACACCAGGAAAACACTCCCAAAAGCCTGACCGAGGCAATGGTGGGCAGGTGAGAGGGTCCTGAGTGGGACCACGTACTTTGGAGCTAAGGAATAGGAGACTATACAGCCCAGGACTATATGCTGAATTGAGACGATGTCACATCAGTATACTGATTAAGAGATACAGACAGGAAGAGGCAGAAATCCCAGAAGAGCCAGGAAAACATAGAGATGAAAAGGATATTACACAACACATTTCTGCATAAATATGCACATGTGAGAGGGACCAAATGACAAATGGCAAACTTCCCATATGTTCAAGCTCCCACCTCTACCTCTCCTAAGGAGGAGGGATGTTTGGTTAAGGTAATGGTTAGGGCTGTCAAAGAAGTAGAGAGTGCTAGCTGTGTAAGAAGCACCTGGAATAGATGGGGAGAAAGGTGAGCAAAAAGATGGGGGGCAGGGACCAGAGACGAGACCCAGCAGGGGCAAGATCTTGTGTTGTTTTAAGACATAGAGAAGAGAGATTTGAGAGGATCTGTCATACTGAATGAGACTTTTGGGGACAGAGGTGGAGTATTTAAGTTTTTAGGGAGTTTTATTGAGTATGATGTGATCTAATCTCCCTGTTCACCACCAGCCTCCTCAAGAAAACCCCCAGTAAAGACCTAACTTACTCCTCATGGCTTTCGAGGTTGCATTTTGTTTTCGGTGCTGATACTAAGGAGAGCCTTGAGGTGAGAGGGTGAGGGCTCAGTCGTATTCAAGTTATACATGCACACGTACATATCCCAACACTGTAGGAGCTGGCCCGTAAATGTCTTGAATTGTCATCTAGAGATCTGATCATGTATGTAAAGTCCGTTTTAAAATTCCTTTCAGGCAGGGACTTAAGAGTAGGACCTGAGTGACCTATGGTGAGATGTCCGAATTCCCATGGCAGACATGGATTTTGGGTTTTCCACTAATTCCATATGCCTCTGCCTGAGTATTTGTGTGTATGTGTATGTACAATATCCCATGAAGAGCACAGACACTGAACACGAAACAACAGAAAACCATTTCTGCCTACAAACGTATGCTTCTAGTGCTGCCATAGATACGTATATGTAGCTAAAACAAATGGAGTGAGATAGTAATATACAAGCTGACAAACAGAAAGATGGAGGCAACTTTTCAACTGCTCTGCTTTCTGCTGGAATCCGCTGACACATGGGATTTCTTATCCCCTTATCACACCCCCAAGGCCTCATCATGAATCCTAGATGCTTCCCAATGACCATGATGATGACAGAACAGAGATGCCTTCCCTCAACTCTCTCTCTCTCTCTCTCTCTCTCTCTCTCTCTCTCTCTCTCACACGCACACACACCAACTTCCACTGCCTCTCTCCGCAGCCCCTCTCCCAAAGGTGCCTTCCTTCTTCTCCTCTCAGCCCATCAAACCAACCTTCAGTTGCCACCTGTCTCTCACCCTTGGCTCCCCCACCCACGCTGGCACCTGCCTGGCAGCTCTCCACCCCCTCAGCCCTCAGAAGTCCAGAGCCCAGGGCCCGAGGCAAGGCCCACATGGAACAGGTTGATGCTGTTCTCCCGGAAGTGGAGCAGGAGAGGGGTGGGGCCACTGATGCAGGCGGGGTCCCTGGAAGCTTACCTACATCCTTGCCTCCACAGAGGCATAAAGCAGCAGGCCATCCTGGTGAGAGATAGTCACTCTCTCAACCTATAGACCAAGTGAGCCCTGGGCCCTCACTTCAGACTCAGCAGCAGGACAGGATCCAGCACCACTCCCTGGTAAGAACTTGATGACAGTGGATAAGTCAGGAGTGTTCTGGGGATGAACAAGGATATGGGTGGGTCAAGAAGGGTCTACGAATCCCCTAGAGCCCAATGGGGTAGATATCTGATGGGCCTTGTGGAAAGAAGGGAGAAGTGGCCCTGTGAGCATCTCTCTGGTGAGGAAGAGACTTCAGCCTCCCAAGCCCCTCCCAGGTGAACCAACTGGCTTCAGGAGGTTGTCCTGTCCATCCTGGCCCTCCTAGGAATGAGGCTGGCAGAATGGCCACATACATCTGTGCATGTGCCTGCTGCCTCCCTAATTCTCTGATGCCTACAAGGGAAATGAGGCAGTTCCAGGCCAGCTGGTGTGTCCTCTTTCACCCACAAGGGTAACCCGGCTGTGCCAGCTGGCCACCCAGCCAGAGCACCTGGACTTGAACTTCAAAGACAGAGACTCAAGACTGTGAACCTCGGGCTCTTACAGGCCCCACATTCTCCAGGGCCCTCTCACCCCAGCCTATGTCTCCCAGGGCCATATTCACTAGTTCATTCATTCATTCATTCTTTCATTAATTCATTCATTCTGCATACATTTGCCAAGCTCCAAGTCTGCACCAGGCACTATGTCTGGTGCTGATGCTAAGGAGATGACTAAGACCCATTTCCTGTCCTCTGGGAGGTTATAGTTGCCGTAGGGGAGAGAGTCAGGTAAACAGATCATAACAATATGGATTTGCAGGTGTTTCAGAAGGGCATGTACAAAGTGTTTTGGGGACATGGGGTGGAGTCACTAGGCTGCCTGAAAGGGTGAAGGAAGAGATCACAGATGAGTGACCCAAATTGAGTCTAAAAGGATGAATAGGGATTCTTTAGATTGGAAGAGGGATATTGTAAGCAGAAGGGGAGCAAAGGCAAAGAGCGGTGAAATGTCTGGATCTACTGAGCAGGACCTGGAGGGCAGTGGGTCCACCCACACCCAGGAGCCAGGAAGAAGAGGGCACCAGGGAAACAAGGGTTCAGGGAAGTGACCCCCACTCAAAAAAAGGGCAACTACCTTCCCAGGCCCTCGGCACCTCCCTCCCCTCTGCGTCCCTGGTTCCTGGCTGTCGTGGTTTTCTGGGAAGATGTGGTAGACATAGCTGTATGAGAGGAGCTTTACTTCCATCGCTAATGAAACGCTCCAGCCAGGCTCCAAGTCTGTGAAGAAAATGACTGTGGAGTCAAGAAAGAGCCCTTGACAAGAAACGGCCGGTGTGGCTTCTCTAGCCAGCCACGTGGCTTCGGACAAGTTGTCTCAGTTCTGGAGGCCTTGTTTCCTCATCTTAAAATGAAGACTCCTTTGATTCCTTTCAAATCCGACATTCTGAGAATCCAGGCACCCTTACGGGCTCCCTACTCACCTACCCACCCAGAGCTGGGTGATCTTTCTCTACAGGAGCCTTACCATGCCCTGGTCTCCCAACTTATCACTCTCCTGTCTCCCCCCACCCACCCCACCACCAGAAACAATGACCATGTTTGAAAATGTCACCCGGGCTCTTACCAGACAGCTAAACCCTCGAGGGGACCTGACACCCCTTGATAGCCTCATAGACTTCAAGCACTTCTACCCCTTCTGCCTGGTACGGAGGAAGAGAAAGAGCACGCTTTTCTGGGGAGCCCGGTACGTGCATACTGACTACACCCTCCTGGATGTGCTTGAACCCGGCAGCTCACCTTCAGGTAAGCCTCAGGAGTAAGGTTGGGTGCTGAGGGATGGGGGCCTACGACAAGGACACTGAAACTCCCTCTGCCCAGGTGTGATTAGATGTCATCTAGCCCGAAGTTCTCAGGAGACAGAGGAAGAGGGATAGATGCCGCTCAGCCCAGGCCTTTTCGTCTTCTCCCTCCTGCAGATCCGACAGACTCTGGGAAGTTTGCCTTTAAGAATATGCTAGATGCCCGAGTGGAGGGGCAGGTGGATATGCCAAAGACAGTCAAAATTACAGGGACTGGAGGGCTGTCTCGGAGCAGCACTCTGGAAGTCCAAACACTCAGTGTGGCTCCCAAGGCCCTGGAGACCTTGCACCAGGAGAGGTGAGACTGGGCAGGGTTGGGAGGCTACCAGGATGGGCTGGGGGGGTGCATGGAGGGAGTGCTTTGGGCCTTGACTTAAAGGTCACCACAGGGAGCTCCTGGAGATGACCCCTCTGCTCTATAGGTGCCTCCAGGCCATTTTCTAACTACTCCACCCTGTCCTTCCACTACTTAGTGCCACGTCCCCACTCTCACACACACACGAAAATGAGTACGTTCACATTAACTCGCTGTGATCTTGGAAAAGTCGCTTCTCCTCTCAGGACCTCAGTTTTCTGGTGTTTTTTTTTTTTTTTTCTGAAAAATAATGGGGTTGGATGAAAATCTTGAGGGTTCCTTCCTACTCTATGACTATGAAAGACACTAAAAAGGGAAGGGGTCTTAACCACCCCCCACTGTGGCTCGAGCACAGCATTCTGCTCCCATAAATGAAACCTCCAGTCCAGTCACACACCAGGCAGCCCGTGGGAATGCTGCCCCAACAGCACAAGGGGTGTGACAGATACCATGCCAATGCTGGGCACCTCAGATGTTTGGTTTGACAGGGAAACTGTCTTTTAAGTAGTTAAGTAGTAGTTGAAAGAAGGAGGTGAGGGCTAGGGAGGCAAGAATAAGGACTGGGATGCTTGGGAAGTCTTCCAGTTAACATTCATATAGTCTCACTGAGCGCAAAGCCACCCTACTAAGTGCTGGGGTTCACTAGAACATCTGGTCCAAAAACCTTGCGATCTAGGAATGTGAGAAAAATATGCAAAAGTAACTAGTATCCAAGGCAAGAAGTGGTAAGTGCTATAGGAGGGCTTTGTCTGAGTTTTGTGGCGGGTCAGGAGAAATGAGGACTGACTTTACGGAAGAGGCAGCCCATGATCTAGGCCTTGCAAGATGAGTAGAAATTGGACATCCAGGGCTGGAAGAAGGGAATTACTAAGGCATATGGGTGAGAAATCTCAAAACCTATAGGGACCATGAATAGCCGGTTTTGCAGAAGTGGAAGAGGTATGCATGGAACAAGTGTGAGATAGGATGGGCCCAGATCACAGGGGACCCAGGGGGCCAGTCAAGGAGATGCAACTATTCTGTAGGTGCCAGGGAGACCTTGATGATGCTCTGATATGTATCACGATTAATCTGGCTGGATGGAGGAAATGTGTCAGATAGAGGATGAGGGACAGGGCTTTGAAGCAGACAGACTGGGCAAGACACTATCCGCTGTCCATCATAGATGTAAAATGAGGAGCTGAGTTGGGAAGGGTGGTCAGAACAAAGAGGGAGGAACAGATGCACGGCCTCTGGAGCAGCAGAATGGACTGGCCTTGGCAGCTGACTGCAGGGTGAGGGAGCGAGTTTTGTCAAAGATGACTTTGATAGAGATCTAATGTACAGTATGATGACTGTAGTTAATAATTCTATATTTTATGTTGAAAATTTGCTAGGAGTCTACAGCCATGCCACCCTGAACAAGCCCGATCCTGTCTGATCTCGGAAGCTAAGCAGGGTCGGGCCTGGTTAGTACTTGGATGGGAGACCACCTAGGAAGACCAGGTGCTGTAGGCATAAAAAATGAAAAATAAAGGATTGTAAGCTAACAAGATCCTTGCAGTCTGTGAGGTCAACCAAGGGTTGCCTTGCCTAAATATAATAATAATAATAAAATAAAATAATAAATAAAAAAAGAAAAAGAAAATTTGCTAGGAGAGTAGATTTCGGGTGTTCTCACCACACGCAAAAATAATAGTTACTGCGAGATGGATATGTTAATTAGCTTGACTGTAGTAATCATTTCTCTATGTGTATCTATATCGAAACATGTTGTGGACCTTAAATAGATGAATTTTTATTTAAATAAATTAATTAATAATTAATTTAATAATCATGTTTATTAATTTATTAATTATATTTGTTAATTTATTTACTATATTTATTAATTTAATGGTTATATTTATTGATGTAATAATTAATTAAATATAAGAATAAAAAACAAAGATAATTCTGAGATTTGACCCAAATGATGACATTAGTAGAAACAGGAAGACAGAGTTTAGAAGCATATTTGGAGAGAAAGATTGTGAGTTCCTTTTGGACGTTTTGACACTTTGTACATGCCTTTCTGAAACATCTGCAAACTCATGTTGTTATGATCTGTTCACCTGACTCTCTCTCCTACTCAACTACAACCCCCTAGAGAGCAGGAAATGGGTCTTAGTCATCTCCTTAGCATCAGTCACAGTGCCTGGGGCAGACTTGGAGTTTAGCAAAGTGTGCGGAAAGAATTAATGAACAAATGAATGAATAAATGTGGCCCTGGGAGACACACTGGGGTGAGAGGGCCCTGGAGAATATGGAGCCTGCACTGAGACAACAGGCTAGGTGTTCAACAGGTAGTTGGAGTGACTACAGTTAACAACACTATACTCTATACTTGAAGGTTGCTAAGAGAGTAAATCTTAAAAGTTCTCTTCACAAGCAAAAAAAATACTTGTAACTATATGTGGTGATGGATGCTAACTCACTGTGGTGATCATTTCCCAATATACACCTATATCAAATCATTATGTTGTACATACAAACTAGTACAATGTTATGTGTCAATTAGATCTCACTCAAAAATAATTTTAAGATATTTGGAAATGAGGGTTGGAAGCTCAGGACAGAAGTCAAGGGGAAGATACATATGTGATAGTGAGCAACATAAAAATGAAAACTATAGGAATAGGGAGAAAGCTGTTGGAGAGGGGTCAGAGAGCAGAGAACTGAGAGAACAGAATTTTAGAAAACATAATATTTAAGGAACCAAAGAAACTAGAAAATGAGATGCAGGCAGAATGAATAAGACTTAGAAGCCAGAAAGACAGGAGCAGGACCAGGGCAGCACACTGTGATCAGGAGCCAAAAGGCAGCATCGTCCGGAGGGTTTGGACAGTAGAGTCCAATGTTGCACAGGGTTAAGGAAGGTCTTTGAGTTTGGTGGATTGGAGTTCATTATGATTTCAGCACAGGGGCAGAAATAGAAGCCGAATTATAAAGAATTTAGAAAGAGGCAGTGAGGAAGTAAAGACAATGGGTATGGGGATATCTTTTGAGATGTTTGCCAATGAAATGAAAGAAACAGAATGTTGATTTGAGGGAATAGCAAGATCAAAGGAGATATATATATATATGCAAGCAGAGAGGGGAATTGGTATCAATAGCAGGAAAGAGGACCCCAGAAGAGATGAACAAGGCTGAAAAAAGGGAAGAAAGGGAGGAGAAGCCACCGTGGGGCCGAGGGAACAAGGATAATGACACCTACCTCAACACCCTGGAGGTAAGTGTCATTATCCTCATTCTATTGATGAGGTCACTAAGACTCAGAGGAGCTGCCCTGCCATTAAGTGGAGATCTGGGTTTCAACCTCAGTCTTTCTCTTTTTTTCCCTGACACCACCATAATCTAGCACCTGGGAATGACCAAAGGAAAGAGAAGGCCGTGGTCTAGGCGGGGAGAAGCTCTGGACAATTCCATTATGGTTTCTCCTGCCACAGGAAGCTGGCGGCAGAGCACCCGTTCCTGAAGGAGATGCACGATAGAGGAGAGAACCTGTATGTGGTGATGGAGGTGGTGGAGACTGTGCAGGAGGTCACTCTGGAGAGAGCCGGCAAGGCAGAGGGTTACTTCTCCCTTCCATTCTTCGCCCCATTGGGGCTACAGGTTTGATTCAAACACACACACACACACACACACGCACGCACACGCACATGCACACACACACTTACATTCAGCCTCTCCTCAGAGGCTGCATTAACTTTGCCCCATCAATGCCCACCCAGGATACTGTGTAAGACCCACTCCTTCTCCCTGCTCTTCAAGATCCAGGCCCCAGTTAGCCAGATGCAAATCTTCTCTCTGGTCAATGATACTCAATGTGGCAGATCTCTGTGCCACATGTGATAGGGAACTATCAGGACAGGGGAAACTCAGAGTCGTGGGTCTTCTCTCATGATGCTCCCAATCTATAGGACAGACAGGCTTGTTCTCAGAAAGTTCTGTCTCATGGAGGAGACACAGAGGTTAAAGCTTAGAGAACACAGGCTTGGAAAGAAAGCTCATTGTAAATAAGTAATGCTCTAATACCTATATCAAATTTGTATAAATATTCAAGGAATGGGTTGGAGCTAGAAGTAGGGGTTAGTCGTGGAAGGCTTCTTGAAGGAGGTGAGCATGGAACAGATGGCAAAGAGTAAGAAGGAAACTCTAAGGTGGGACAGGGATGCACATGCAGATGATGGAGCAGGTCTGCCCAGTTCCTTCATGTGTCAGAACTAGGAAGAGAAATGCAGATTGTTAGAGGGACGATGAGTGGAAATAAGTGGACAATCGTACTCCATGGAGTCCAGCCTGAATGGACAGGCAATCAGGGACACCAATGGAGGGTTCCCAACTTCTTATCTCCCCAAAGATTCTCAGGCCTGGCCCTCCACTTGCACCCCCACCCCACTGTCTCATACTTAGGATCTCTGTAGATACACAATTCTTCACTGTCTATTCCTAGGGATCCATAAACCACAAGGAGGCTGTAACCATCCCCAAGGGCTGCATCCTGGCCTTTCGAGTGAGACAGCTGATGGTCAGAGGAAAAGATGAGTGGGGTGAGCAGACGCCAGCATATTCTCCCTTTTATATAAGAATTACCTGCACTAATACTAAGACATCCTGGTCCCCTCTTGTAGCAATGTCAGGGAATGAGTGAAAGAATGTGGTCTCTTGTGGTTCAACTGCTGGAGACAGAACAGGAGGGGCTGCTCTGGAGAGCGAGTGAAGGCACCTGGTTCTGAGCATCTCCTGTGTGCTAGGCACCGTGTTAACTGAGGGAAGGGGGCACAGAGAGAACAAACACAGCCTCTGCTTCAAGATGTCTGTGGCCAATGGAGGAAACAAACACAGACACCAGTACTTGAAAGCAAGAGAGAAAATAGTGTTATGATAGGAAAGAATTCACAGAGGAAGAAAGGATTACTTCCAACAACAGAGGAGGAGCTGAGGATTAGATGAGGCATTTGGGGGCAGGGTCCTTAACAGAGCCTACAGATTTGAGATCAGAGAAGGGAAATTGCAGCAGCCATTGAGGGTTCTGCTCTCCCCTCTCTCCCTCTTACAGAAATTCCACATATCTACAATGATAACATGCAAACCTTCCCTCCTGGAGGTAAGTGAGATTGCTCCCTGGCTCCCTACATCTTCGGCCCTGCCCCTGACATTATCTGCTAAAACCCTGCACCCTCAAGTAGCACATACCATAGTCCCTCAAGCCCTGGTTTTGTTTCCCAAGTCCCTAAAAATATCTATCCTCGACTTTAGGAAAGACAGATAGAGGTGTATAAATACCACCCAAGAGAGACAGAGAAACAGAAAGACGGAGACCAAAAGGCACAATTGGAAGCAGAAATAAGACTTGGAGACAGCGTGTGTTCCCGAATTACGGAGGCAGATGAGCTAACATAGTCTCCATGTGTTTTTATAATGATCACTGATAAAGCTGCCTTGACAACTGCTCTAGATAAAAAGGCAAAATAGGTTTTATTCTGACATATGTGCATTGTTTCTGTCTTCAGAAAAGCCAGAAGAGGAGAAGTTCATCCGTAAGTGTTTCCTGTCATTTCACTGTAACTGTTTTGACTCAGAATTTTAAAATTCCAGTCGTTTTCTTCTCTTCTCCATGGGACTGACAGGGAGCATGGCAGAGCAGGTCTCAGCAAACACTTGTCCTTGAAACGTGGCAGAAATTTCAATAGTCGAGGTAAAAGCAGTGGAGAAGGAAAGTCTCTGGACAAGATGCGCAGGTGGTCGGATGCCATAGACCTCTCCTCAAGGGCCTTAGTAGCTGTAACCTGTTACACACACATTTGTGATTCCACTGCCCAGTCCCTGGGGCAGGAGCCGCTGAGTCACAGTGACAACTCAATCCAGGTGCCCTTTGTCCCATTGCATTAGCTTCTCTCGTGACCGATTCCTCCTGACTCCCACGAATGGGGCAAGAGTATCCTTAAGCTGGTCAGGACATCCCAGGAGACAAGACATATTTCCTAAGCCCCATTAATGTCTCATCCCCTGGGTCCACTACTGTTTGGGGGGATTACATTCTTATCGTCCTTTGTTTTGTTCTTTTTTTTTTTTTTCCTCAGTTATCCAGGCATCTGATGTTGGTAAGGAATTTTGTGAGTTTCTCCCAATATCTATCCTCAACTTTAGGAGGACTTCAGCCGGAAGGCAGTGGGAGAAGCATTGGGATAGAGGGAGGGGAAGACAAGTCCCAGGTCCTGGGGATTGGCACCACTTC